CACCTCCTGGTTCAGCATCCCCTAGCTGAGAGCAGCAGACCTCAGGAGACGGACAGGAGAAGAGGGTGTCTACACACACTGGTTTCACATTAAACTATTATAAAGTCTTCCAGGAGATAGCTGCTCTTTGCTGCCAGCACAGTGGTGTCCTCGTCACATAGATACAGAGCCCCCCGGCCACTCTTCAGTCTGGTCGTCTAGGACTCAGAGAAGCAAAGCAGTTTCCTGGAGGTCTCGGGGCCAGAGTCATACAACAAGCAGAGTTCAAGTGCTGGCTCCGGCACCCTTTCGATAAGAGCAACTGCATTCTACTTCCTGATGCCTAGCAACCAAGTACAGGCTCTGTGCCAAAGGAAGGAGGGACAACTTCCAGAGAAGGGGTCATTCAAAGGCAACTGAGTAAAGAGATGGATAGAGCCTTCCTTGAAGACATGAGGTAGAATGAATCAGAAGTGAAAATACTTCATATGCAATATACAGGAATGAGTCCCAATCTCTTTAACATCTAAAATGTTTTAAACCCATCTGAATAAAAAAAAAAATTTGGAGGAAGGGACATTTATATATAAAGATCCATTTCTGGGTTCCAGTTAAATTAAGACACTTCCATATTTGAAAAAATATTATAAATGATATAAACTGGATAAAATGTGTACACATGCACACACACAAAGACACACAGCTGGGAGTGGTGACAGACATCCATAATCTTCTACAATCTCAGCACTCAGAAGGCTGGGGCTGAAAATCAAGGCTAGCCTGGGCTACATGGTGAGCCCTTGTCTGAAAAGAAAGAAAAAGAAGTTGCATAGGTAGATATAAATAAATCCCCAGAGCTGCAGGCTAACTCTCAGTCCTCTTCCACCAGTTTTAAGTGGGTGCACTGTAGATAGTATTATTCTGGCAACCTCTGATTTTCGGATTTCTTTTTTCCTTCTTTTTCTTTTTTAACTTGGGCTACCCATCACTGCAGAATGCAGGCAACTTCCCTAACTGGATTTTAAGTACTTATTCCAAGCACTCTGGAGCTGTTCTCTGTTCTCCCACGTGTGTGATCCCTGTATGACAATGTGCTGCTTATATAGGCTTGCCTGGTGTGTGTGGAGTCCTTAACCTACATACCAGTAACATTTGGATCTCTCTTTTAGTGTAAACCCAGCTGTTGAGGTGCCTTTCTCTCTCTCCACTACAACGATCTTTCTGGGACAATGACAACAGGCTTTAGGAATGGGGAGGGCTGTTTGGGGGTATGCAACTATAATCAGGATTGTTTTTATAGTGCAATTTTCCTTATTTTTAAAGGGAATAAGGTTAGTAATAGATTCTTATAGCCACACTAATTTTTCTTATAAGGAGGAATCAGGTCAAGACTCTACATTAAATCTTCATTTCTGGTAGACTCAGGCCACTTGTCAAATTTCCCACATGTGGGGGTCATGGCATGCATGGAAAGGAAGCATGGAGTATGTGTTTGACAAACCTCACACACGACATTGCCAGTCAGAATTCAGACCCTCTTTCCATCTTCTCTGCTTCCTCTGCTCTCTTTTAATGTTTCTTCAGCTGCCTTCCTTGTGAGCATGCCTCTGAAGGGGCTGTGTGCCCACCTTTGGGTGCTTGCTGATCTTCAAAGCATACACACTGAAATGTACTACCCTGGATCGGGTCACCTGGTGGACGCAAACTTCACTTTAGTCGCTGGACACCGTCAGGCTGATGCTCCTAGGCTTGGCTGCACTGCAGGGAGCTGCATGGATGCTCACATTCAACTCTACTAGCCTATTAGCTCTGAAGGAAACGGCAAAGTCCTGCCTTTCATCTGCTGATGTTAAGGAAGTGAGTCTAAGACTTTGTACCTATAAGTTCTGGCATCATTTTGAACAAAACTGATTTTTTCCCCTTCATTACAAGAAAACTGTACAAAGCACCATGATAAGGAATGAGGGAGCTATGATTTATAGCCCTCTGTGTAGAGGAGATTTAATTCTGCCTTCTGCTCAATGGCCTATCCATTGTGTGAGCAGAGTCAATACCAATAATGAAATGTAGACTGAAGGGCTAAATCAATTCAATAAAATGCAATAGAAAGGCTAGAGGACTGAGTAAATTTGGAAAGGCTAGTGCCTGCCAGATTAGTATTTGGACAACAGGTAATTACAAAAAATCAATACCTGTGTATGAAAACATGACAGGCAGCCATCCATCACAAAGCGGGAGTAATTACCAACAGTCTGGACTCTAAGTAAGGAAGAGAGGACAAAACACGTCCACGCAGAATTTTATCAGACTTTACGTGTTTGTGTGTGCACATGTTCATACACAGATGCCTAACTCCCCATATGATCACAGGAAGTGGGGAGACACGTTCCATCTCATGTTCTCACTCCTACAGGACCATAGTCTTCCTTGTCACCCCAGTCATCATGGGGAGCCAGAGGATGGGGGCACCAGTGGGGAGGAGGAGTTTCATTGATAACATTAACTGTCCTTCATGTGCTAGCTGTTAGAGGAACTCCAAACAATGGGAGGTGATACAGGCAGCCCAATGACACTCACAGAAAAAAAATTATATGTGCAAATGTGTGCACACATACATACATACACATGACATGCTAACACTTCCACATACTTACACTCACACTGACATATACAGACATGCACAAACAGCATGCATACTTACATGAACACAGGCATACACACCTGTACACACAGACAAACTCATGCCTACATATGCTCACAAGCACACTGGCATATAACATATACATGTGCCCACTGACACATACACACAAGTTCTCACATTCAGACGTGCACATCCATCCATAAGTTACAACTGCAACTTAATAATTGTGGATAAAGTATGTCCACTCACTAATCCGTCTACATAAATCAAGTCCTTCAATCCCACAGAGACATCACCAATAGAGTTTCAGCACCACTAGGTTTTCCATACACGTTTCTGCTATTGTATTTTTCTTTCTTTTAAAATTTCTTTACATTAAAATTTAATTACATCGTTTCCCTGTTTCCCATTCTTTCACTATTTTAAAGATAAGCAAAGAGGTTCCAGAAGACAATAGCTTCCGTTCCAGACGACAGGCTTGGCTGCTGGCATGGGAAGCGTCTTCAATCAGATTTGATGGATACGTTGGTTCCCCTTCACTGCACACAGCCCCTGTCCCCCACAGGGTACAGAGGGTAGTTCTGATACAGATACAAGTAAGTCTGAGATCTGTTGTCAGGCTGCATGGCAGCCAAGAGGCCTCAAGGCCAGTCCACAGAGCATGTGTGCAGAGCTAGTTAGAGAGGTGAGTTCAGACTGCCTTGGGCCATGGGGGCAGTGCAGCCTGACTGGATGACTTCCTTTTCTCATGTTTGACTTCTGAAATCTTAAAATCTGTCACTTTCCTTTTCCTCTTCTGTCCCTCATCCAAACAACGTGACAGAAAGCTCACATTTCCCCCTTTGACATCAGGAGATTCAAACCAGAGGAGGCCCAGTCTGTGGGTAAGAGCCTACTGCCCAACCATTCACAGGGATGAACCAGGGTCCTTTCCATACCTCTCGGAAGCCCCATCTGGACTATGTGAGAGCTCTTCTATTCATCCCCGAGAGCCTCGTCATGTGAACAACATGCCTTACTGTGTGTTTTTGGGGTGTGAGTCACAGAAACCCAGTTCACATGGGATTGACACGCCAAGTGCTCCTGCATCAACATTTTGCCAGCGACAAAAGAAGAAGCTTTCATGACCTTGGGAGAAACTCAAAAGGTCTCCTCTCAGAATATTTTCAGTACTTTGCATCCCAATCTGCCCTAACCTGTACATGATGACTGGACCTGGGGTGTCAAAGCAGGGATCCTAAGATGGCGTCTGTATACCTTTAATGTGACTTAGGTCATCTTAATAGTAGGTACATTCTCACATTTAAAATTTACCCTTGCTTAGTTAGCATTTAAGGTCAGATAATTCTATGCTGTGTGGCTGCCAGGTGCATTGCAGGATGCTCTGTGGCATTGATGGTCTCTGCCCACGGGGTACCAGTTCCACTCCCATACCCCTCTAGTCCAAAATGTCTCCAGACACCAAATCACAGCTTTCTGAGAACTACAAAGAAATGTGGTTTTTCCGATGATAGGCATGACCAACTTCTTAAAGGAAAATCGTGCATCCTGATGGAAGCAAGCTAAGATTCACGGTGAAAAGCAGCGCCATCCTCGTGTCTTTTCCTTCCCCTATTAAACGAATTTGGACGCATGCTCAAAGCTGCTTACATGCTATGGAGATGACTCATTACAGTTTATAAAAATCTTTTTAAAAACTTGATTACTCAGTTCCTCGCATGCAAATGCTTGTCCTTTATCTGAAAAAGAATTTGGGTTAGCTACAGTGACCACGGTGATTTTCTAGAAATAAAACACACTACAATGTAGTACATACCTCAGGGTATTCTAAAAGCATGGGGCATTTTCACAACCATTTATGTGATGGACACAGACAACAGGCTCTGTAATGGATCACATATATCCATATCATATCCACTGTGGCTCCTGTGAATGGCTCAGAGCATTGGGCTCCATGGCAAAGCCTGCAGTGCTCATGCTACTAATAAGTTCTCAAAGGCAGACAGCCCATCATGAATCCTGACAATGATTTGAGGAGATAACAATTGATGTCTTGCAGTTTTTAGTCTTGAGAGACTAATTATTCACAAAGACAAAATTAAAAAAAGAAAGGCAAATCATAGCAGCACGAGGCACTGAAGACTCAGCTTCCCTACGACAGGCAGGCAGGCCTGGTCTCCTCATCCTCAGGGTTCAAACAGAAAACACATCTGAATACATGTGTGACTGATGACAAGTGCTATGTCTCAGTCTCAAGGATGAATCTACAAGTCAATGGCGTAATTTTCATTTTTTGGCATCTCTGTCTGACACAACTCTGAATATCCCTAAGTACTTATGAACCTAGTACCGTCCACCCGATGATGTGAGGAGCACTTACCTCTGCTTTAATTTTATTGTCTCCGAAACAGAGGTGTTGCAAGTAAGCTGCGGCATTGGACTGAACGGAAGGGAACTGATGCTGCAACATCTGTATCACTTCAGGCAGCTCCGGGTCTCTCCATCCAAACTCCCTGTACGAAAGGAAGCAGGAGAGCATGAGGAATAAAGCTGGGCACATGCAATGCTCTACCAACACTCATTCAATGTGCTTAGCAGCCAAGGCAACACTTTATAATGACTGGACTGTCTTCCTCATGCACAGATGGGTCCAGTGCAGAGAGGACTTCTGAAAAGACCTGGGGTACCAGCTTTTCAATATCCACATCTGTATACATTCACATTCCATGAGATTACATACATGTGACTGAATATCTCAACTAAATAGTTACAGAAGATGAAGAAGAGATAATTTACACCACCCTCCTCCATTTTTACTTGGGCTTTCATGGGTAAAGGACACATTATTTTAATAAATGATTTCAAAACCTGGCATATAGCATTTTCTTACATCCTCAGATGAGAAAAACAATGGGTACAATCTAATATGCCACAAGACCAGGTAAGCATACTGATACTGCTATTTTACTTTTCGTATTTTCAAAGTCTTTTAAGAGACAAAACGAAACAAGGAGAGAGAGTAGACCTTTTCATGATTATCTGAGGCTAGAAGTGGAGTAGCGCAATTTGAAAAGGGAAATTATTTATTTGAAGAGCTTTTCAGTGCATGCTAGCAAATTTTGTGTCCTGTCTTCCTTTCTGTGTCCTCTTCCTAACAAGAAGGAAAAAAATCAGTTCGAGAAGCTGGTTCTTTATTTTCTTTCAGGATATATGCTCTAAAATATCTACTTCTACACTAAAACTCACTTTTGTGTTGTTCCTAAGAATATTAATCTATGAAGTTTCTCAGTTCTCTCAGATAGACCACATGGCCAGTGGGGTGAACTCCGTGGGTCCTCAGGCAGACACATGGCCAAGAGGGTGAACTCTGTGGGTCCTCAGGCAGACCGCATGGCCAATAGGATTAACTCCGTGGGTCCTCAGGCAGACCGCATGGCCAATAGGGTGAACTCTGTGGGTTCTATTCTTAGAAATCAGAGAGCTGATTTTTTTTTTTAAACAGAGAAATAAAAAGCAACCTCTGAGACCAGAGATAAAAACCTGACCTCAGAAGCTACAATGGGAACTATTAATCTGAAAGATGGACTGGAGGAGAGAAATGGGGTGCCTTTGCAGCCACCCCTCCTCCTGGTGAAGTGACCCAGGAGCATCCATCCTACGGCTGCAGGTCAAAGCTGTTACCTGAGCAGAGGAGTTGTGAAAACTGAGGCAGAGAAGGTGGAGACCGGGGTTAAAAGTTTCCTGGCAGATTCTAACCTGCCCTCTTTATCTCTCCGTTATTACGATTGGGAGAACTGTCGAGCAAAGCCTGAAGCACGTTGGTGCTGAAGACAGATGGATAAGAAGGCTTCTGAAGATGGTTAGTTTTTATTGGGGAAGATAAACCACTTGATTTCATGTGGAGGAAGTCTTCAATACACATGCTGAAAAATTTCCCAAAAGATATAGAGCACGTATTTGCTGAAAATAGTTAAGCGATGCTGGCACCGGACCCTCCTCGCCTATGAGATCACAGAAGAAAATTACAGGTCAAAAAAATGAAAAGCCTGTTTTCCTCTTAATTTAATTTCCCTTTGTTGCATAATTCCAGATCACCTCTATAATTAAAAAAAAACACTGTCCTCATAATAGTATCCCAGTAGAATTATATTCTTTATGCAAATGAAGCCCAAATCTACAGAGTACCTACAAATTAAACTTCCACGCAAAGTCACTGCATCTCTAAGATGAATGTAGGTAAACTTACACTTTCAGAAAGCAATTAGTAAAGAACGCATTCAAGTTTATTTTATAAGCCAGATGGTAATTGCTTTATTAGCCAATGGCTTATAGGGTATACATCAAGAATATCTTTTGAGCAATATCTCCAGGAAGGAAGTCTTAGGAACCTTGACCATGACCATGTGTGTGTACATGCTCTCTCTCTCTCTCTCTCTCTCTCTCTCTCTCTCTCTCTCTCTCACACACACACACACACACACACACATACACACACATACACACACACAGATGTGGCAGAAGAACATTCCAAACTGTTTCTGAACAGGAGAAAAGAAGGTGGCTGCAGTCCCTCACTCCCCATCCACAGCCTCTGTAATTACTTCCCACCTCAATGCTCTCCTAGACATTTCAGGGGGAATTTGTGGCACTCCTTTGGTTCAGACCCTCCAAAGATCCCAGTGGCTCGGAAGAGAGGCTTGGAGAACCCCCATGACCTTCTATATGGGGCTGCTGTATATATACTTCTATATGGGGCTTCTATATGTACTGCTGGCTCTGTACGGTGAGGAGCACTGGCTGAGTGGATGCTCGCTAAGCCCATGTGTCGGAGTGAGATAATGATTCCTACCTGCGTGTACTGGTGGGATGGTTAGCAATAAAAGCTACAGCTGGCACCCAGTGTGGGCCCTCTAGAAATGTCAGGGCTTCCATATAACTAGACGGAGAGAAGAATGAGAAGTAAGAACCATCTATAATTCCTAGAAGGCGAACCCACAACTCTCATTTGTTACTGGGCTTTACCCTGGCGATGGTAATGGACTGGAGAATATGCAAATGTAACCTTTCCTGCACTAAAGCTTGTCACATAGACCCACAACATTGCCATACACCCTCCCCCATGTACGGACTGTCTGCACTGCTAAGATGTCACATAGACCCACAACATTGCCATACACCCTCCCCCATGTATGGACTGTCTG